AGGGGGCGGTGCCCCAACTCCCCAATCGGCCCTGCTCTGAGCCTGACCAGGGGCTGCACCTAGGGATTGGGCGTGCCCTCTGCCACCCGGGAGCAGGCCTAAGCCAGCAGGTTGTTATCTCCCGAGGGGTCCCAGACTGCGAGAGGGCATAGGCCGGGCTGGGGGACCCCCCTCCCCCTCCGCGAGTGCACAAATTTTTGTGCACCGGGCCTCTAGTTATTTATAATGGCCAAAACCAAAAACTAAAAAATCAGTAGAAGGGAATAGTTGAGTAAATCTTATTAAATCTTATTATAATAAAAGGCTAATATGCAAATCAACTGAACAGCAGAACAACTGGTCACTATGATGCACACTGACCACCAGGAGGCAGATGCTCAACGCAGGAGCTGCCCCCTGGTGGTCAGTGCGCTCCCACAGGGGGAGCACCTCTCAGCTGGAACCCGTGCTCATGGCTGGCGAGCGCAGCAGCGGTGGCAGGAACCTCTCCCGCCTCTGAGGCAGCGCTAAAGACCCCGAGGGGGGATGTCCGCCTAAGCCAGCAGACGGACATCCTCTCAGGGGTCCCAGACTATGAGAGGGCGCAGGGCGGGCTGAGGATCCCTCCCCCCCTCTTCCCGAGCCCCTCTGCAGTTCATAAATGTCGTACACCGGGCCTCTAGTTAAGGTTATAAAAACTATGTGGGACATGCTTACACTACGAGGAAAGCAAAATACAGTGCGTCCCAAAAATGTATACACCCTTTAACAGTGGGTAGCTCAATTTTGAAAATGAGATTATTTTAATAAACACTGCCTTTATAGTTATTCACAGTGTGTGTGTACATTTTTGGGACACCCTGTATATGGCAGTATGTGCACTGTGATTCCCACACTATAAAACATGCATGTAGACAAGGACAGAGATAAAAAGCAAAGTTTAAAAAGTAAGATTTTTTTTGTTTTTAAAAGTGATTAGAATTAGGTCAGTTTAGCTTTGTTTTTTGAATGTCTTTGTTCTTTAAAACTCTCCCTTTATAAATGATTTTTCATTATAAAAGTATGTTTTATTTTTAGAATAGAGTTACAAAAAGAAGAAAATTAAAATCATCCGTGAATTATCTTCCCTGGGAGAAAACCCCTGTTAAATCATTTTGCTCATATCCATGCATGTATTTTACAGTAGTATTATATTAGTAAACAATCTTTTTTGGGAGGGGTGTTAATCAAGTACGTTCCAGCAATTTCACTAGGTATATGTCCAAAAAAGTTGAAAGAAAGGACTTGAACACAAATTTCTATACCAGTGTTCATAGGAGCATTATTCATAATAGCCAAAAGGTGGAGAACACAGTTTCTATCAACAGATAAATGGATTTTTTAAATGTGATGTGTGTGTGCAGTGGAAGACTACTTAGCCCTAAAAAAGGAATGTGATACTGACACATGTTGCAATACCAATGCAATTTGAAAATATTATGCTAAGTGAAATAAGCCAGACACAGACAGATAGGCACTGTGTGCTTCCACTTATGTGAGGCACCTAGAGTCCTCACATTCATGGAGGCAGAACGTAGAACGGGGTTACCAGGCTGGGAGGGCGGGAGTTAGTACATGATGGATACAGAGTTTCGGTTAGGAAAGATGAAAAAGTGTTGCCCAAAATCTAACAGTGGTGGATAATGGTTTCACAAGACTGTGAATGGGTTTAATGTCGCTGAATTGTACACTTAGGGTTGAAATGATGTAAGTATAAGTGCATCAGCCCAAGGGGTCCGACTGCTGAGGCTGTTTTCACTCGCTTTAGTCACATGTCTGGGTGAGGAGAAGACAGGTCTGCTGTGGCCCAGGCAGCCCAGGCCCGCTCTTGTCCCAGTGCTGCCAGCAAAAGGCCCCAGAGAAGGGACGCCGAGAGTGAAGGAGTCAGAAGCATGGCAGGGACGGAGGACCAGGGCTTTCATTTGTTGAAGACAAGACTCAGAAGCTATTAGAAAAAAGATTTTTTTGGAAAACAATAAGAGACCTGTTCTTTTTTTTTTATCCTCACCCGAAGATAATTTTCCCATTGGTTTTTAGAGACAGGGAAAGACTGAGAGGAAATATTGATGTGAGAGAAACACATCGACTGGTTGCCTCCTGCACGCTGACCAGGGCCTGGGCTGGGGAGGAGCCCGTACCTGAGGTACATGCTCTTGACCGGAATTGAACCCGGGACCCTTCAGTCCACAGGCTGATGCTCTATCCACTGAGCCAAACTGGCGAGGGCAAAAGACCTGTTCTTTGACCCAAAGTAAAGACCGACTCAGAGTCAGAAACATGCAAAGGAAGGACGACCTGTAGGGGATCCTGAGTCCTCCATTGCTAGAGACCGCTAGCCATGGTTTGGCTCCCCGCGTGGTGGGCCGTGTGCAAGGGGTTCTCGGGCAGCAGAACCGCGTTCGGTCTGGTGGTGGTGGTTGGGGCCTGTCGGCCTGGTGTCGGGCCTCAGTGAGGAAGCCCTGCTGTTTTACAGGAAGTGACAGGCTGCAGTGCTGGTCCAGGTCTCTGAGGAGCGGGATGGGGCTGTGGCCTTCATTCTCAAGGGACTTTCCAGAATTTCATGTTATTAATCTCTCAAAAAATGTTTGCGTAAAGTTAACCCCACGTTCAAAGTAAAACAGATTTTACGTGTAATTTAATGAAAGAAGAGATGACAATATAAGCATATTCTGTTCCTTTTAAGGCAGTTTATGAAGTAGATATTTACAAATTGAAATTCCAACAACTGTTCTTTTGTTAGTGGCCAGATTTCAAGTGAGAAGTCTCTGGCTCTCTTAATGCTTCTGAAAACTTAAGGAAACGTTTTTTAAAAGTCCTAAAGAGGACTAATACCTGTTTTGTGCGCAGGTATCCCGGGATGGTGGCGTCGCGTCCCCTGCCACTGAGGGCCGGGGCGGCAGTGATGTGGTGGAAGGAGGCAGAACAGCTCTGGACAACAAGACCTCCCTGCTCAACACCCAGCCTCCGCGCGCCTTCCCGGGGCCGCGGGCGCGCGACTACAACCTGTACCCCTACCCGGACACCATCAACACCTATGACAAGACAGCCCTGAAGGAGGCCGTGTTTGACGACGACATGGAGCAGCTTCGAGATGGTTTGTCTTTCTTTGTTTGATTGTCCCCATCCAGAAGTTTCTCCCATGGGCTTCCCCTCTTGTCTGACCAACTCTGGGCATATTGGTCGAATGGACATGGACATGGGTCAGGCCTGGTTAGTCCTTTGTTCACAGCTACATGTCCTGCCATGTGCTTGGGCATGGAAAGCACAACAGTGAACAAAAGGACACACAGTCCCACCCTCCAGAGGCACACGGGTGACCTCAGGTGGCAGCTCTGAAAGCTGCAGTGAGGGGGGCTCAGGGTGCCACCAGGGAAGCCATCACTCGGACCCAGGGCCCGAGGAGCTCAGGAGAGGAGTTAGTGACATGGAGGGCAAAGGCTCGGCAGTCCCAGCTCTGGGCTCAGCATGTCGCCCGTGTAGCTGTGGGAATCGGGTCTGAAGCACCACTGGGCTCCCCTCCCCTCCCCAGCGTATCGGCAGCTGTTCTGGAACTGCTCCGGTGACTGCCCTGCAGCTGGGAGATGGGCTCCGGCATGCACTGAGCACTCGCATTGCCTGCTGCACTCATGCTTTACACACGGCATCCAGTGGACATAGCGCTCACACTTTACACACGGCATCCAGTGGACATAGCGCTCACACTTTACACACGGCATCCAGTGGACATAGCGCTCACACTTTACACACGGCATCCAGTGGACATAGCGCTCACACTTTACACACGGCATCCAGTGGACATAGCGCTCACACTTTACACACGGCATCCAGTGGACATAGCGCTCACACTTTACACACGGCATCCAGTGGACATAGCGCTCACACTTTACACACGGCATCCAGTGGACATAGCGCTCACACTTTACACACGGCATCCAGTGGACATAGCGCTCACACTTTACACACGGCATCCAGTGGACATAGCGCTCACACTTTACACACGGCATCCAGTGGACATAGCGCTCACACTTTACACACGGCATCCAGTGGACATAGCGCTCACACTTTACACACGGCATCCAGTGGACATAGCGCTCACACTTTACACACGGCATCCAGTGGACATAGCGCTCACACTTTACACACGGCATCCAGTGGACATAGCGCTCACACTTTACACACGGCATCCAGTGGACATAGCGCTCACACTTTACACACGGCATCCAGTGGACATAGCGCTCACACTTTACACACGGCATCCAGTGGACATAGCGCTCACACTTTACACACGGCATCCAGTGGACATAGCGCTCACACTTTACACACGGCATCCAGTGGACATAGCGCTCACACTTTACACACGGCATCCAGTGGACATAGCGCTCACACTTTACACACGGCATCCAGTGGACATAGCGCTCACACTTTACACACGGCATCCAGTGGACATAGCGCTCACACTTTACACACGGCATCCAGTGGACATAGCGCTCACACTTTACACACGGCATCCAGTGGACATAGCGCTCACACTTTACACACGGCATCCAGTGGACATAGCGCTCACACTTTACACACGGCATCCAGTGGACATAGCGCTCACACTTTACACACGGCATGTGTGTCTTTACCAGCTTCATTCCTAGTGCTCGACAGCACAGGGAAGCTTTCGGAGTTTATTATGAATGTGCTACGGAGGTCCAAGGCCAGGGCGTTAAATGCACCCAGGACTTATTTTCCAGCTTGAAGTAACACTATTTAGAGTTGATGATATAATTTTTTTCCAGGTACATTTTATTTATTTATTTATTTTTATAGCAAAGATGTCCTTTTATTATTTATTTTATTCATATAAAAATGTTTTCTTTTAAAAACAATTTTCATGAACATTTTGACCAAGATATGCTGTTGGACACTCCATAAATTCATCATGTCTTCTTTTCCTAGGCCGCACAGATTGTGCTAATATCGCTGTTTGAATTGAACACTCCTGAATTTACTATGTTACTTGGTGCCTTGCCCAAAACATTCCAGGATGGTGCCACCAAACTCCTGCATAACCACCTCAAGAATTCCAGTAACACCAGTGTGGTGAGTGCTTCGGCCACGTTGGTGCCTGTGTGTACTGGCCATGGCCTCTCTGTGTCCCTCGTCTACAGCTTGCTCTAACAGCCAGCTTGCTTACTCTCTTTTAATGGACTGTGGTTGTCTCAAGAGTGGGAGACCAGTTTTAATCCTGCCATATTCCCAATGAATGAATGAATGAACCTGGTATTTAAATATGGCCATTTTCACCCTGGCCTGTTTGCTAAAAGGTTAGAGCGTCAGCCTGCGGACCAAGGGGGTGGGGCTTCGATTCTGGGTCACAGGCTCAATCCCTGGCCCAATTGGGGTGCATGCAGGAGGCAACCAATTGATAGTCTCGCTTACATCAATGTTTCTCTTCTCTCTCTCTCTCCCTCTCTCTCCCTCCCTCCCTCCCTCCCTCCCTCGTCTCTCCCTTCCTCCCTCCCCTACTTTCTCTCCAAAAAAATAAAGTCAGTGTAAAAAGTGTCCTTGGGTGAGGATTTTTTTTAAAAAAAGTAAATGTAGCCATTTTCTTTTTCTGAAAGATTTTTTAATTGATTTTTAGAGAGAGGGGAATGGAGGGAGGGAGGGATTGAGAGAGAGAGAGACATTGATGTGAGAGCGAAACATTGATCGGCTGCCTCCTGCACATCTCCTACTGGGGATTGAGCCCGAAACCCGTACATGTGCCCTGACCAGGAATCACACTGGCCCCTTTCAATGCTCAGGATGATGTTCAACCAACAGCCACACCGGCCAGGACAATATGGCCATTTTCTTAAGTTAGGTTATTCAATCAGTTACATACCTTTTTATACTGTAGAGATGTAAATGCTCAATTGTGTCTGTTACTCTAGCACAGCTGGCATCAGTTATTCCGTTTCAGGAATGCCTATATGAAAGTCATCTATTTTTTGTTTAATATGCACTTAAAATTGGCCCCAAGGATTTGGAAAAAGAATCATTCTGATTGTACAAATTATGCCCGTGTAGACACACGTGGATGAAAAGGCCAAGGGAAAAGTGGGCCATATTCTCTATTTAGCCCTGGAGTAATGATGCTTATTCTGCCTTCACCCCAGAGCTCTCCGAGCAACACAATTGGCCGGACTCCTTCCCGACACAACAGAAGCAGGACCAGCCCCCTGACCTCACCCACCAACTGTTCCCATGGGGGCCTGTCTCCAAGCTTGCTGGACTATGATACAGAGAACCTGAACTCTGAAGAAATCTATAGTTCTTTGCGTGGAGTTACAGAAGCCATTGAAAGGTTTAGTTTTCGAAGCCAAGAGGATCTGAATGAGCCAATTAAACAAGATGGCAAGAAGGACTGTGAATCTATGGCCAAACCACCCTGAATGCGCCCGATCTCGTCTGATCTCGGAAGCTGAGCAGGGTCGGGCCTGGTTAGTACTTGGATGGGAGACCGCCTGGGAATACCGGGTGCTGTAGGCTTAAAAATTAAAAAAAAAGAAAGAAAGAAAAGAAAAAGAAGGACTGTGATATTGTATCCCGGGATGGTGGAGTTGCGTCCCCTGCCACTGAGGGCCGGGCCGGCAGTGACGCGGCGGAAGGAGGCAGAACAGCTCTGGACAACAAGACCTCCCTGCTCAACACCCAGCCTCCGCGCACCTTCCCGGGGCCACGGACGCACGACTATAACCTGTACCCCTACCCGGATACCATCAACACCTATGACAAGACAGCCCTGAAGGAGGCCGTGTTTGACGACGACATGGAGCAGCTTCGAGATGTGCCCATTGACCATTCGGACTTGGTGGCGGACCTTCTGAAAGAGCTGTCCAACCACAACGAGCGCGTGGAGGAGCGGAAGGGCGCCCTGCTGGAGCTGCTCAAGGTCACCCGGGAGGACAGCCTGGGTGTCTGGGAGGAGCACTTCAAGACCATCCTGCTCCTGCTCCTGGAGACCCTTGGAGACAAAGACGTGAGAGCTGCTCTTCTGCATTTCCTTCCGGGGGTGGAGGGGGCAGCTCTTGTGGGGTGGCTCAGCTCTCCTTTCCTACTGGGCTCACAGTTTACATCAAAGCACGCCTGAACTGGCCTCAGAGCCCAGGGAGCAAGCGCCACCTAGAGTACGTTCACGTCGATGAGGGGACTTGTTCCTGCATCAGGTCACTTTACACAAAATTTCTTAAAACTCTGTTAGCTTAAAATGTCGTTTGTAACAATGAGCTTTTTTCCTTGTGACTTTTATTTTTGTTTCATGTTTCATTGCGAAACAGAAGTTCCTTTTTAAAGACCCTACGAAATGCTGCATTCCAGCACATTCTGTCTCCGTTCACCCGCGCGTGCGTCCGGGCCGCGCGCCAGGCTCAGGAACCGGGGTGGTTAGCATCGTCTATTATTTTCTGTTGTTAATTTTAAAGTAAAGGCCCTCTTCACGCTGTGACATCTGAATGTGACACACTAGGCATTTGCTGTGTAATCTTAGAGGTGGGAAGAATCCAGAGTCCTGCCTTCCTGCCCCGTGCAGCTGGCCCGTCCACAGAGACAGGAGTAAATGGAGGGATTGCCAAGTAAGCCGTGTCCCTCGAGCGGGGATCTGTGTCCGCAGCAGGAACAGCAATCGCCTGAACGTGGGGAAGAGCTCCAGGGCAGGCCCAGGCTGAAATCTGACACAGCCCACGGGAAAGGTCATGCCCGGGCTCATGCTGATGGTGGTGGGAATGGGAGACAGGTGAGCAGGAGGCTGGGAGTGTCGCGCTGACTTGGATTGCTTTCTGCTGCTTAGGATTAGTGGTTTGGTCTAGAACAGGCGGAGGGAGGCTAGAAGAATGGTGATGAAAGATCGGTATCAACTTTTCTTAAAACAAAGCATTGGTTTCTGAAGCCCTTCTCCTGGGTTGGGCTTTGAGGTCGGGAGATAGAGCGATGTCATGTAGAGGCAGCAGAACGGGGTGGAGGGTGAATTGCACAGGTGAGTGACAAAGAATCAGGATGTACTTTTTGGCTGTGTTTGGTGTAAACTCCATTCTCTTTTTTTGAGATTAGGAGTCTGTTTGGAATGGCTTTCCTCCAGACACATGACCCGGGCCTCAAGGTCCTCAAGCACCTCGAGGCTGGTACAGTCCCCTCCCCCGTGGCCTCATCAGCAGCAGGTCGGGAGAATGACAGGTCTCAGCTGCCCTGGAGAGCTCACAGTCTTACAGGCCACGCGTCCCGGTGTCCAGGCGCGTTTACCTGTCCTCCGGGCATTTGACACAGGGTGGTCTGCATCTCTGAGCCTCAGGAAGTTCCCGTCCTCCAGAGCTCCATTGTCCTCATTTGGCTCATTGAAGAAACCTTTTTCAGGTCCCTCTTAGGTGTGGGCAGGGTGCTGGGAATGCCACCAGGGGCACGGGCTGCTCATGGAGCTGGCCGTCCGAGAGCCCGGCAGGTCAGCAGAGTAACTGTGTCCAGGCGTCTGTGGACGCTCGGTGCCCTGGACCCTGCTGCCGGGTGTGTGCGTGGGTGCAGGCTGCTGACCTCTTCCTTCCTCCTGTTCCCCAGCATTCCATTCGTGCGCTGGCGCTGAGAGTTTTACGGGAGATTCTGAGAAACCAGCCAGCAAGATTCAAAAACTACGCTGAGCTGACGATCATGAAGACTCTGGAAGCCCACAAAGACTCCCACAAGGAGGTGAGCCGCCCGAACCGGGAATGCGGAAACAAGTCCGGGCGCGGTGGGCTGTGTGGGGAGAGAGGACTGTCAGTCACTGCACGGCTTCCAAAAAGGAGTCCTCCCGTGAGTGCAGGCCGAGCCGCTCCCAGGGGTGAGCCAGGGCTGCGTGGTGGCCGCGGGCAGTGCCCTGCAAGGGCTAGTGCCACGTGGTGGGTTCCTGACTCCCTTTCCACATGCACAGTGGGCTCGGCCTGATCCTGGGGTTCCCACATCTGTGGTTCCCATTGGTTTGGTCCAAAGGAAGGGTCTTCCGTTTCTTCCTGGCGGTGGGCATCATGCCGGGTGATGTTGGAGAGCGAGATCAGCTCTGAAGATGCAGGCATCCTAGGACAAGTCGCGACAAGGCCTCGCTCCAGAACCCCGGAGAACTTACTTCACGAACTCTGAGCCTCAGTTTCCTTATGTGTAAAATAGAGATGGGTACCACTACGTTTCTCATGAGAATTCAGTGAGACGACCAGTGACGGTTCCTGGCCGGTGCTTAGTGCCAGAGGGTACTGCGCTGTGTGGGTCTCCCTTCCCTTCGTCCCCTGGCAGGGCTCCTCTGGCTGTGCCACGCCTCGTCCACTAGCTCCTGAATGTTGGCCAGGCTAGCAAACGGCGCCTGCGGTTCCTGGCACCTCAGGTGCCGTTGGAGAGCAGCGGATGTGTGTCTGCCCCGCTCATGTACTGCAGACAGGCACACAGTAAATCCTCGTCCACTTGCTTACCTAGTTGTTCCAGCCCATGGATCACCAGTCCTTTCTAGAGGTCTACAGAGACCGGGGAAGTGGGTGGAGCATCCTAAGTAAAAATGATTTCAATAACACTATTCCAGTAAAAGCCATTGTGGAAAATGAACCAGATATTTAGAACTTTAGGAACCTTTATACTGCAGACGATGGGTTTGACCCCCCCAGCGAAAGACATAACCACTTGCTCATTTCAGTCTCTTGGCTCACATGTGACTATTTCATGGGCGTACTGTGGATTAAAGGAATTATGATTAGAGCAATTCTTATATCAACAAAAAGCGCCAGACCCTAAATCAGTGGTTCTCAACCTTCCTAATGCCGAGACCTTTCATACAGTTCCTCATGTTGTGGTGACCCCCAACCATAAAATTATTTTCGTTGCTACTTCATAACTGTAATTTTGCTACTGTTATGAATCGTAATGTAAATATCTGATATGCAGGATGTATTTTCATTGTTACAAATTGAACATAATTAAAGCATAGTGATTAATCACAAAAACAATATGTAATTATATATGTGTTTTCCGATGGTCTTCGGCGACCCCTGTGAAAGGGTTGTTCAAGCCCCAAAGGGGTCTCGACCCACAGGTTGAGAACTGCTGCCCTAAATCATGCTTTTCCTCTGCTCAGCAGTTATATGACTACCAGACAGTAACCTGTCTGACCTCCTTAAATCCCACCATGATTGCAGGCTCAGCAAGGGTGGGGGTCCTCATGCTCTGTCTAGGCACCTCCCCATCTCATAGTCCTAGCATAACAGCTACATGAGTGAGGCATGTGTTGGTTTGTTTTTTCTGTGTTTTCTTCCCCAAGAAAAACGGTTTTAAATACAATATTACATGCAATACACATTAATATTTCAAGAAAAAAAAGATTTTAAATATAATATTACCAAAACTGTACTAACAGTATAATATCACAAAAGTTGTAGGAAATCTTAAAAATCTCCAAATAACAGGATTACTTCTATTATATTCTAAAATATTTTTTT